GCGAGGGGACGAGCCCATGTTTTTCTGGGATTTTTGTAAAATCGCCAAAAGATCCGAGGTTTCGGAACGTGGACATCAAGGATGGCCCCGGAATTTTCGCTCTCTCCTAAGGAGTTGAGAAAAGAATCAAGGTTATTATTTTACACGCTATAATTGGCACTTTGTAGTCCGATTCGCTTCGAGGATAAATTCGTTAAAAAGGGGACTGCTCGTTGTTTGAAAAAACAATATTGGCTAGTGTTCGCAGTTTCGCGACGTCGCGATGTCGCGAGGTCGACTCGCCGGCCAAGGCGAGTGGACTCGCCCTTTTTGTCCGGGGCCATTCGGGACACTCGGTCTTGCCGCGCAATAAAATGTTAAAAGATGAGAGATCGCTTGAACCGCGCAAACCGCTTCTACACCCGGCCCAATAAGAAAAGGTCCCTCCGGGCTGGAGAAGACCGAAATAACACGCTAGCCTGCACTCGTGTTCTCGTGTACCGCCGCGACGAGATAGAGAAGGAGTCCCGTGGGACCGGGAGCGGCGGGAGGAGGGAGCCGGAGAGAGGGAGAGACATAGAGAGGGAGGGAACGGGAGAAAGATGGTTCGGCTTTGTAGAGGCAGATCAAACTCGGCGGGTCATTAATAAAATCTGGCGGAGCAGCCATCGTCCGTCTCTCATTCCCACCGCACCGGCTTGATTTACATTACACAAATACGGCCCTATAAATAGCGATATGGTGGCGTTTCGCGGCTTTTCTTCCGCCGCCCGGGAGGGACGTCTCCCGACCTTCTCACCTTTTGTTCCTTCCCCTCTCCCTAAATGGCGTCTATCGGGCGCCGTTTAACGTCAAATCGAATGCATCGATGCACCGGACGGCGGGGAACGAGTCCTTGGAGGACCTCCTCTTTCCTTCCTGCACGACCCGCAACCTCTGGAGCATTTACCATCGACGTTTCCCCGGCATTTGTCAAGGTGCGTGTAAGTAATAACCGATCGGGAGGCGATCCCGAAATCTATCGATCGATCGACTCCCCCGACGAACACCGAGCCCGAAATAACCTCGGGACGGTCGCAAGTCGCGTTTGGAATCGATATCTGCCGAAAGGACAGCCTCGGGGGATCGATCATTCTCGATAGGATCGACATCGACTCGATATTGGAACGATCTCCGGATCTAAATCGATCGCGGGGACTAAACGACTTCGATTCGAGGCAGTTCGCCTCGGAGTGTCCCAGGCCGAGCCCGCGACCCATCGATGAAGCCGTGATGTCTCCTCGGGAACTCCGCGGGGGTTCCTGCGGGACTCGTGTAGGTGCTCGAGCTCTCGTCCTTTTTGTTGCTCGGTGTCGATAAACCTCCGGCCCATTCATCGGATCTTCCCGGCCAGCCGTTGAGAGGGCTTCGAGGGTTAGCGACAGTGCCGGATTTGCCGGTTCGCACCTTACAGATTATGAAACGATGGTCAACGTCGAACCGTTCGTTTGAAGATTGGAAATAACATAAGTATCCCTTATTAAAATCCTTCCCCTCTTTCTTCTTCGTCTTAAAAAGGACTTATTAGCGTTAACTTCCCGCGTAACTCTTTTTTTTTTTCGGATAAAAGTTCCAACTTCCCCTCCTATTCCAGGCGCTAAACGAATCTCCCATTTCTTATGAGAAAACGTGGGGGTTTCAATTGTTTTCGTTTAATTTAACATTCAGTTTAATATTTCTTAATTCAACAGTAAACAGAATAGAAGATAAATACAAGGTTAACCATTTTAGATTCGGATAATATTCAAATAATAATTTTCTACAGAAAGCCTACGTAAAAGTGCCATCACCAAAAAGACCGCAGAACGAGCCGACGTTAACATATTCCTCGAGGTATCTTTTGGAAAAGGTCGAAGGAACCTCAAAAAGTAAATGTTAAACGAAATTCGACATGGTTTCCAGCAACAAAACGTGCAGATCGCGATCGGTCTCGCAAATACAAAATAATACCGTTCCGTTCCCAGAACCGTCGTCGGCGAAATCTTCGACGTCGCCGAGCGGCCCGATCGCAGTGGCTCCGATTTGGCGGGCGTCCAATCCCTAAAAGTGGTCGTAGATTATTATTGGTATTTGGGCATCGGCTCAAAAGGAACGAACGGTCTCTGGCATAAGGTGGATTCGTCGGTCTCGGATGGTGTTAAGCCCCGGGTACAGGTACTCGTGGGCGTCGGCAGAGAGGTGGTTGCTCGCGCGCGCCAAAAAGGGATCCCGAGAAGTAATCGCGCGATATTTCACGGGGCCCGGGGTTAGGGCCTCTCTCTCTCACTTTGCTTGAATTAATCGGCTGCATAATACGAGCGGCTTTGTAGTGCCTCGTCGTTTTGGGCGCCCCTCTGTGCATAAAACGGTGCACCGTGCCCCCGGCACTTCTTCATAAGGACACCCACGAGTCCTACGCCGAAAGCTTCGACTCCCAGTGGCGTAGTCCCTGTCTCGATCTCGAAGCAACTAAGGGTCGAACGTTTTTCGATTCGCGTGTCCGGTGATATTCAAACGCTGCCATGCCAGATTCGATGACGACTAATCGAAGCTCGTCGACTGAGCCGGTCGTTTGCGATCGGACGTCCCGTTTCGCGACAGTTATCCCCTCGGCGTCCGAAGGATATTTCGAGGCACTTTGCTCGGCTGCGACCTCGACGTGATAATTAGAAGATTTAGAGACGTTATGCCGCCTCGAGCGTTTAGCCGATGATTTACTGGCCGCGTCGAGAGAGAGAGGGAGAAAGAGAGACAGCCCGGACGCGTATCCGCGTATCTCTCGGGCTTTGTACCTCGTGTGTTACGGCGCGCACACACGCGCGACGCTCGCCGCGCGTTAGACACTCTAAAGTATTAACAATAAAACAATTGAATGAGGTCCGCGGGGTAATAAATCACGAGAGCCTGGTTATCTCTCGTGGCCGGGCGAGAGTCGCGGCTCCCCGCCCACCCGGCCACTAACCTACGGTAAATTTAGCTATTGTCCTGCCCGGGTTATTAAATCCCGTCGAAATGTCTTCATGAGGAGGCCGCGTAATTCGCCACCGTTTAGCCCTCCCCCCTCCAGCAGCCTTATATAAATGGAGATGCTTTTTATAACGCGAAGATAATGGCGCACGCCTTCGAGATAGAGCGGTTAGGTTGGTTTTCGCCGCGTAGGCGAGAGGCGCGTGCGCGTCCCGTTGCTACGCAACCGAGAGTGGCGTCGCTGACCGCGTTACCCTGGCAACGGAGGACGCTGTTGATCCGCTTACGGTTACGGCCGTTCGAATGGGAGGTTAGGCAAATTGCGGCCGTTTACCGACCGGTGACCGAAAGTTCGTGAAATCGAATCGATCGGATGCTTTCTACGGAGAACAACGCTTTCTATCGATTATCTATCGAGTGCGAGTCGTTACGGTTGCTCGGATTAGAGGTCGACCAATTTGCAAGAGTGGACCAGTGGCCGAAGAGTTCGTCAAGGCGAAGATGTTTTTTCTTTTATCCAAGGCGTAGCTTTCTTTTGACTTGCGAATCGTCATGGCTGTTCGCGTAGGAGGTCAGGTATTATAGATTGTGAACGGTTAACGACCACTGACGGTAGAGCTGGTCGAAATGAATCGGTGGAATCGTTCCTACGGAGACCAATTTCTTCTTCTGAGAATAGGCGTGGACGCGCGTCGATATAAAAATCGACGTTAAAACAAGGAAAAAGCGGTTTCCAGGCACCGGCTGTATCTTTTGCGGGCTCCCGACAAGGTCGACTGGAATTCAGAGAATGGGCTCGTTCGGTGTTTGAATAGGACCTCATCTTTGAGCACCACGCCTCTCCCTCGCCTCGCTCGCCATTGTCCGTGTCAATATTGTCACACGTGCTGAAAACGCCGACATAAGGCCCCGATGCGCGTCCGATTCCACCTGAGATTCGTGATGCCGAACTGGCGTTCGGGCCTCGTTCCCGGGCCCGATGTTTATCCAAGTCCATCCTTTCTAGGTGGGGCCTCGCGATGCACGATTTGAATAACCGAAATCGGATGTATCCATTTGCATGCACCGCCCGAATTCGGGCTCCCCTGGGCCCCGAGGAGGACACGATGATGTCGCGCGATCCCCGCCTCGATAGCGTACCTGTCCGATCCCAAATCCGATTGTTTCTTCTTATCGGGAGGAAGGAAATGATTATAGGTTTCAATTTTGAGGGAAACGTTGAGACAAGAACCTGTCTAGTTATTACCGGGCGCCGGGTATTTGGTTTGCGTTAATAATATCCCCGACCTAACGACGCGTTGTTCGTTTCGTGAGTCGCTCTCGCTCGTAAATAGACGCGACTCTGTCGAAGGAGAGCGCGTTTACGAGCGCATACGTCCGCGGGTTTCGGACGGTAGGCTGGCGTGAGTCGAGCTACCTGTGCGAATTGCGCGAGGTACCATCGGGCAAGGTGTTTCTAACTGGGAAAGGCGATTCCAATGAGAACGCCCGGGGAATAAAGTATCGCTCTTGATGACGCGTGTGTTGCAACTCGCGCATTAGCCGAACGCGGGCTAGGTGGCGCCCTCCGATAGCCGCTATCTCACGGGGCCGTATATAATATGATGCTCGCCGGTTTTAACGATTGTTTAATGTCGCGATATCTGACCTGCTTATTTCCTTCCGCCGAGTGGTCTAGAACGCGAGCTGGCTGAAATTGCCCCCCGCAGTCCTCGGTTGGGGCAATAACTCAAGAAACTTTCAGCCGAAAAATGCACCTGTCAATGCTGTAATTATTGTGGCCTCCTTTTTGTAAAGAGAGGACGAAGAGGGGAACAAAATTTGTAATTTGAACTCCTTTCAAGGCAAAAGGACGTTAAGCAACGTTTGATACCGATAGCGAGTAGATTCGTTAAGGTTTCTTCATGGGTGGTCGACATAAGATTGAATTTTGATGGGGCGATTGGGTGGATGGTGTTTCTCAAAGAAACGGTAGATGAGTCTGGCGACCTAACGAAGACCGGAAATGTAAATCGGATTGTCTTTCGACGTTTCAGTCACATCAGGAGGAGGACTTGTCGGACCCGGACCTCCAGGATGAAGAGAGTGGCGAAGAGTTGCCCCAGCAGCCGCTCCAGGGCAACAATCATTCGCCATCGGATGCCACGTCCATTCCCGTCACGACGCCGACGCCGCTTACGCACCTCAACAGCCTCATGAGCTCGCACCACCCTCATTTCCTGACCAAACTCAAAATCGAGGTCAGTTGGCACGAGTATGGCACCCGGGTACCCCTTATATGAGCAAAGCTTCGAATTTTTAATTCTAAACTAGGAGAGAATTTCAAGTCTACCCCGGATGGTTTCCCATCGCAGAGGACGAGCAGACGCGACGGTTTAGCTGTAAATTACCCCTGTAAAAAATGTTAAGATTGAATTCTTCTTATCAAAGTGTCACAAGGGACGCAACGAACGTTCGATCTCGCGTGGGATGAATTTACTCGTCAATATTTCCTCGAGGACGGTGTAAACGCAAGGTCGGGGCCAGTTAGGAGGCGGTCGAAGCCGTCGACGGATGAGAAGCGAACGATTCTATTATCCCGACGCCCGAGGGTCCGGAAGAGGGATGACTATTCCGGCGAAAATGCGCCATTACCGGCATTACGCGAGTGCGGTTACTCGCGGCGGGTCTCCACCTCCCTTATTAACCCTATGAACCCTCGGTGCTGATTAGCGCCGAGACGCTAATCCCGGAAACCCCGCGAATCGACGGTGAACGAGCGGCCGTACTTTTCCGCGCGGTCTGTCCGTCCGCGTCTTTACGCTCCCTTCGGTCCCCGACGTCGCTTATACGGCTCGGTCTTATAACCCACGGCATTAAATAAATCTCACGCTCCTCCCGTTATATACTCGCAGAAGTTTTTACTCGACGACCTGGCAGCCTCGTGGAGGAGAGTCGTGGTCGTCGCCGAATGGAGAACGCGGTACCATCGAGGACCAAATGCCCATCATTTTTGTGACGTTGAAGTAGTCCTCAACCGGTGGGATCTTTGGAACTCGATTCTTTATCGGGGATGTAGGTTTTTTAGTGGACGATTAACCCTTTCGCTCCTGCGGTACCGATCGTCGGCTTGCCACCTCTGAACTGGATTCGTGACCTGGGTGTACGTACGGGATACGGATAACGTTTGGTACTTTACCCCATGGTCTATTTGAAGAGGCTTGAAATTGACATTGCAATGGAAAAGCGCCCATTTAGTGAAAATCATTGGTATCCTGTCAAACGAGTACCCGTTGTACTAACTCGTGGCGGCTGAATGTGGCTACCGCAGCTATTTGTATGTTCGTCGGCAAGCAACCGATTATCCGTTTCAGCGAAAGGGTTAAGGAGGACATCGTCGTCCCTCGCGAACGGAACCCAGCTTTCCCGTTTCCGCGCCCCTTAGCTACGGTTCGCATCCCCGATTCAGAGGAGCGCCCTCGCTGAACCACCCGCTCGCCGTTATCAACGAAAGTTTCTTCTTCCCGGTGACGTTCGACCCGACCCCGGGCGCGATCTGTTGTGGCTGCGACATCTCGGACCCTGATCCACCGCAGAACGACATGGAGGCGCTGGGCGGCAAAAGCGGCCTGGAGGCGCTCCAGGCCGCGATGGGCAGCGGCGGCTTCAACCTGCCGTTCTCGTTCCCGCCACCGGCCGCGTTCCTGGCGCCGCAGCACCACCCCCAGAACAGCCACCCCGCGGCCACGGGGACCTCGGGCAACGCCCTGACCACCTCCTCGGCCAGCTCGCATTCGAGCGAGTCGTCGCAGGGCAGCCAGAGGAACGGCGAGGTGCGCGACAGCGGGATCCACGGAGGCCAGTCCAGCGCCGCGGCCGCCGCGGGGAGCGCCCATCAGCAGCAGACCAGCTGGAGCTTCGAGGAGCAGTTTAAACAGGTGCGTCAGGCAAGTACCTAACTACCTACCTATCCGTCGGGTGCGTCTTCCGGGGGCCCCGCGAGCGGCAGGACGGAGGTCCTCCCGGTCGGATCCTCCGGCCACCCGAGCGGCAGGTCCAGCACCCAAAGTTGGAAGGCGTCCGCGCGGCCCCGTGCCACGGCGCGAGGCCCTCGGAAGAAGTTTGACGGCGGCAAGTGACACCGCGGTAACGGGCGTGTAATTACCGGCCCCGAAGTGTCGGGCCCCCCTAATTAATGCAACGACGGGAGGCTAATTATTACTTTTACACGCCGGCGTGAGATAATTGCCGGCCGCGCGGATCCACCGAAACGACGACGGCGGCCGCGACGGAAGGGGTAGAAGAGCATCGGCCTGGACTTCGGCCCGGGGCGATCGCGACTCCGGACCCTGAGGGAGGAGTCATAGAATTGGCCGGACCGCGCGTCGCGGCCTCGTTAACGCTTTTTGCGTGTACGCGGGACGCGCCCCGGGTCCGGGGCCGGTCCGCGGCACCACCGCACTCGGCGCTCTCGGTTTTTCTCCCCCGGGGGTGTGGTGGTGGATTACCATTTAGATTGTTCGGGTGCCGACGAGGCCGTCGATGCGCGCCGTCCTGGGTCGGGACGCCGCGTCGATCCGCCACGGAGGGGACCCTGCGCGATTCGGGCGTCCAAAGCGCCCGGATCTCGCATTCGCGACGCGGTCGGATCGCCGGAGGTCCACCGGGTTCCGCCGCCACCGCCGCGAAAATCTCGCCCCCCCCGGGCGCCGCTTCGAATTTAATACAGACATTTTTAACGTGCCGTCCGACGCCGGCGAGGGGCGAGATAGGGAGGGGGTCGGAAAGGGCAAGCAGCGGAGCTAAAATGAAAAGCTCCACCCACCGGTCTCTCTCTCGCGGATCGCATCCATCATTCCGCGGGGGCGTACTCGCGGTCTTTAATCTTCCTCCCTTCGACGATGGCGGGATACGTATGGCGTTCGCTCCCTTCCCCCTTTGGGGGCCGTCTCGGGATCCGCGAAGCCTCGACCTCTCGCGAGATTCCCGCTCGCCCTCGAGCCCTTTCCGCCGCGCGCGGCCCGATGGCGTCCATTTGCCGTTTTTCGGTCCCCCCCCCCTGCCGTCGCTAAACGGGTATTACATCGTCCGGAATGAACGATCGCGCCGATTTGGGGAAACGGAACGCGGAGAGGCGCGCGAGGGACGGATCCGAAGGCGCTCGACCGAGGAGGGCGCGAGATCCCTCGGACCTCGCAAAACGGGCCGAAAGGAGGCGCGCGATTGGCGGGATCGCGGATCGGCGTGCTCGAGATTCGAACGGTCTAGACGCCGAGACGATGGTAATTCGAGGATAAAAGTACCTCCGACAGGTTTATAGTCAGTTGGTTATTGTCTTGAAATAGGGTACCGGGGTCCCGGGGGTTGCCTTGGGCGGAGGCACCGTCTCCGTCTCTCTCGCGTCCCACCCCTCTCGCCGCCGGCCGGCCCTCCCCGGCTCGAAATAAAAGTGTTTGAGTAAAATACAAGCGGGATGTATCTACTGTACACAAAGTAATGTACCAACACAGTTTTGCTACTCGTGGCGAGCTACCACGGCAGTAACACTGTAGCACTATACTTTGCAGCCATTGTGAAATAACTCGTAAACCTGCAAATTGCCGGCTATTTCTCTTCCATATACGTGTATACGACGACCTTTTACACCGGCCCGGGGCCGTGTGGGTGAGCCGGGGGGGGGGGCGGGGAGGCGCGGGGCTCGTCCGCTCCGGACGCCAGGGCGCAAGCGCACACGGACGCGCGCGGACCGACTTTATAAACCGACGTTACACTTTCGCCTCGTTCCGAGGGTCCTCGCGCGGGGACCGGAGCGAGCGCCCTCGCGCGAGTGCGAGCGAGCGCGGTCCCTCGGGATGAGCCCGCGGTGCTCCCCCTCGCCCTCCCACTCTCCCGTGGTGGATCGCTCCGCCGAGTTAGTTATCATTGTGATTATGCAAATGCATTATCATTATGCAAATCCCTCGGAGTACTAAAAGCCGCGGGAATGGCGGGCGCGCGCGCGCGCGCACGCCGCTCGCAGCGATCCGCTCCGAGGGGTTTGCATAGGTGGGTGGGTCGCCTCGCAATTTGGCGAGATGACCTTTTTCCGGCCGACTTCCACGTACCCGTCGGGCTTCGGACAATCGCCGCCGTCGGCCCGGACGTCTCGCGTCGTCGCGCACCCAATCGCCGTCGATCGCGAATTATCGAATGACCGGTCCCCGCCAATCGCCGCCGAGCGAGGTCGACCGCGGCCAATCGCCTGCCATCTGAGACTCTGCTATTGTATGAATATACGATTAAGTTTTGAAGGGGGAAATTGACAGTTTTGTGCACGATTTTGAAATGTCGAGCAGTTACGCGACTTCGCGGCATACGAATCCATTTGCATACGAATCCATTCGTATGCGAGAAATATCCGATTGGGACCTGAGAATCGGGTGCCTAGAATATTGAGGCGATCGCCGCCGGTTTGACCTAATCATGGCCGGCTGCACCCTGTCGCGAGGAAGGTCTACTTTATCTCGTCTGAAGCCAGTTGATTTGGAAAAGACTTTTTTTAAGGGATTGCCCCGAAACGTTTGAGACTGACTCGCGATCGCGAGCACCTAATGGCTCGTGTCCACGTGTAACTAAAACTTGTGAGAGCAAGAAATGGCGCAGGTTACTTGCACGTGGACGCGAGCCATAAAGAATGTCCTGGTAGTTAAGAAATTGGATTTGTAAAATGACTTATTTCGATTAATCGACATGGTGCTTTGCTGTAGAAGTTTGGTTATTATAGGATTTTGGAAGGCTTTCTGACTTTTGTGGGCTTGCATGTATTCTATCGCAATGGATTAATCGTTAACCATTCTATCCAGTCGCCATCAACTGTGCCCGTCTATGGGTGACTATAGCCGGCTACTCTTCAGGGTGTATCGGATTACTTTGACCAATGATGAAGTTCTGTGGTCTTCCGAGAAACCCTTTCATATTGCCAAGACACTAAATACGAATTACGAAACGATCGGTATTCGAGAATTGCGAGCGACAGCGGTTTACGATCCATCGAAGGACGGGCCTCGGATTTATGCCGCTGCTCGGTCGACAACGACATTAAAGCGCGAATTCTTTGATCTGCCTGAAACTAATTTAGAACCCGTCCGACCGGCATGAATCCATTTGATCAACCACGCTTAGCCACGTTTTCCTGTGAATGTTTATTTTCGCGACCATTGACATCGCGACCGATCCCCGAAATGCCGGAAAATCCTCCTCGGTGAAGTCACAACCCGTAAGTTTCGAAACGTTGCGGTTGCGCAGTGCGCGGAACTACGTGACATCGTTGGATATTCCTCGTAAGACTCGTGCCAGATAAACCGTAGAATCGCATTGCCTCGATAGACGAACGTGCCATATCTGACCTAAGTTTCACCTGTTTCAATCTGTCTCTGGCAGAAGCATTGACGGAGATCAGGTTTGCGTTCATAGTACGAGAGGAACGCGATAAAGGATATTATCGCGTCGCTGGAATAAGCCAAGGCATATATCCAAGAGGAATCGATTGAATATCGACGGATACTTTCCAACCGGTACATCTAGATATAAAGGAACAACATTTTATGTCATATAGATACGTTCAATTTGCCGCGGTTGATCGATTCGGCCGAACCCAGCCCAGTTGGCGAACGGCGAAGCTTTCCCGGGCCAGCGGTCGTCGTTAAAATTCGCGTAAAAAGGTCGTAACTCGGCATATCTCTCCATGTCGCGAACTCGGGCTTTGCCTTCTCCGTTTCCACGAGTGCAATGTCTATATGCCCTACAGGTGTATCGGGCGCGCGCGCGTATCGCGGGCGAACGGACACCGTCGTTTGCCCTCGGTTTGCAACTCGGTAGAGTTTCGCGCTCAGTACACGTAAACTCGACCATACACATTACTGGAAACGTTTCACTTAGCAACCTGGACCCGTCAAGAGGACTTGGCTGCACCGTCCCCACGCCTGGTCAACCCTATCCGGAGTTGGATAAAGGCCTAGAGTGTCGCAAATCTGAAAATAGACAACCTACGAAAAGAGATCAATGTACGGTTAAGCGGTTCGTTTACGTGACTGGGGCGCGTGCCATATTTCTGGACTTTTTTTTTTCATTTTTTTTTCACACTTTTTCTCACTGGAGATTCGAAGAATCCTCGCATCGATAGCGAAAGCGTTCCGGGGAGCGTCGGTAAGGCAGAACGCGCGCGATGGCAACGGCCAGCTCCCGGTACCACCGCGGTCACGTTTGTCCAATAATTGGATAAGGCCGTAAATAATGCGGCCACTAGCTACCAACGTTTTCTGCCTGCTCGTTAGAAACCATTATGGACTCGTCTCGTTGGCGTTACGACTTTGAGACCCAGGGAGCAGCACCGCTCGGCGCCTCGCTCCCGGCCCTCGAGTGGTAGCTCTCCCGATCCATTTTTTCACCGTTAAACCATAGACTCTCGGGAAAAGACCGAGGAGCGCCGAGTTCTCGCTCGGCTAACTCGCCGGCCCTGACCAACCGCCGACAGCTCTGCCAAATCGTCCGCCGTTAAACGGCGCTTTCGTTTACAAGCCAACGCCGGGGCCGTACTCGGGGCGTTATCACCTCCGCGCGAGGAGGTGCCTCGGCGTTTACCCCGTGCCGATGTATCGATCGCGCGTAAATCGGGACGTTAGGACTCGGTTAGGATATAATGAAGGACGCTTCGGAAGAAACTCTTCCTCCGAAGCGTTGATCGGGAAGGGTACGACTCCTCTGCGGGGCAATTTAGATTTTTCTTGCCCTCCGATGAGAGGGAACGTCGGTTCCGCGCCGCTAAACGCCGGGGTCGCTCATCGCGGAACGCCGGATCGCTTCTCGGAGGTGTCGTTCGATTCCGCCGTTTAAAACGCACCGCGGTTCGCCGGTTCCGAGTAGAGGGCCCGACGCGTCGTGGCGCTGCAGCGCGCGGAGC